AACTCTGTGCGGCCGATTCTAAGGGGATTGTGGTGGAGTGCGGGGCTCTGGGAATTGTAGTCGCTCAGAGCTAAAGAAACGGAGAGTACGTACTCTACTGAGTAAGGTGTTGTAAGTTGTTTAAATATTTCTCCTTCGGGTTAACGGCAGCACCCAAAATATCCAGCTCATAAAGCTAGGAGTCAACTGAGACTTCTTGACTGTCTCATTCAAAATGGCCAAATCCTGGCTCCTCTACTTTTCCTCCAATGTATGCCTATTAACAACCCTGCTTCTGCTTTCAAGGACTTATTATCCAGCCTACCCGCTGTTTCCATCTGGGCCCCTGATCCATCCTCTGCAGTGTAGTCCGTGATCAGACACAAGTTTGACCAGATCACCTGCACTAACGGTTTTCCTCTAACTGTAACAGAAGCTTAGGAGATGCTGTACTTCCTACCCTGAGAATCAGAAATCCATATGAATGTTTTGTTGAAAATTAGGTTGAATCAAGAGAGAGATATAGCATAGTGGTTAAGACCATGACCTCTGAGCTCCCAGAAATGGAAATACAAACGTCCCTAAGTATATGAAAAGAAGTTTTATCTCACTTAATAAGTGCGATGGAAATTTTAAAGTACAAGGACTATAAAATATATGACCTGTACTCCTCAAAACTGTACAGGTTATCAAAAACGTGGAAAGTCTGAGAACGTGTCAGCGAAAGGAACCAAACCATGGTTTGTGATATGTAATGTGATATGTAATGTGATATCCTGCATGGGACTCTGGAACAGAAAAAGGGCCCTAGGTAAAAACTAAAAAAATATGAATAAACTATGCACTTTAGTTTATAACATTCATTAGATGTGACAAATATACCAGAATTATAAAGATGTTAACACTAGAGGTTAAATGAGTGGAGGTATACAGAACTCTGTACTGTACAACTTTTCTATATATCTAAAACTGTTCTAAAAATAGTTTATTTATTAAAAGTACACTAACATTTTCACCTACAAGATTAGTAAAGATCCAGAAGTTTGAGGGCACATTACTTTTGTTGAGATTGTGGGAAAATAAACACTCTCATTACACACTGCTGGTAGGAGCATAAATTGGTACAACCCCTATGGAAGGTAATGTGAGGATACAGTTGAAACCATAAATCCCCATTCCCTTTAGAACAGAAATTCAACCTCTCTGAATAGGATCCTCAATACTATATGTCAAGTGTGTGTGTGTGTGTGTGTGTGTGTGTGTGTGTAATATGTATATATGTACATATGTATTTTATGTGTATATATTTCATACACATATACAAGTATATATGTATTTTACATGTAAAGTTATTCACTGCAACACTGTTTATAACCAAATTTTGCAAACATAAAATACCCACAAATGTAATAAATCCATTCAATGTAAAACTGTGCAGCAGTCCTAAAGATGACAGAGTTTGCTGTGGGCTGCTACTGAACAATCTAAATTACGTTTAGTGAAATAGCCAGGCGCAGAACAGTATCAATAGTATGCTTCCATTTGTGTAAAAAAAAAGGAGGGGGATTATATGTCTGTATATGCTTGTGTATGCATCAAATTCCTCTGGGGAAACATAGAGACCAGTGATAAATGAAAGCTTCCAGGTAGGGGAGCTGGATGATTAGCAAAAAGGGTGGGGAAAAACTTCACTTTTTGTACCTTTGATTTTTGAATCATATGATTATATTTATTACCTAGTCAACATTTTTTTAATTAAAGGGAACCCTCCTTATGCCACAAAGAATAAAAAAAAGAAAAAGATCATGTGTATGGGGGGCACACTGTTTGGATTTCTCAGTTCCCATAGTTAGAGAGAACATAGTAGGCAGTTTGGACTTGATCTTTTGCTTTGGCAAGTTATAAGACTATGTGAGTTTCAGTAAGTTTCTTTAACTGGTCTAGGACAGCTTCCTCATCTGTAAAATTGGGAGAGTACCTCTGAATAGGGTGACCATAAAGTGTTACATAAAAGTATGGTTTTAAAGTCACTTGATAGGTGGTCATCTATGAGCAAATATTCTGTCATCTGGTAGAACTTGTTCAAATTTTCTGTACTCCCATGCTCAAGTTAGAGGATAAGACAAAGAGCAGCTCCTGGAAGACACTGAACTTCCTAAGAACTTCTTACAGACTGAAAAGGTCACGGAAAGTATCTGAGTTATCCAAAACCTGTTATATGCCGGTGAGTATGTTCTTGAAGGACACGGGTGAATGAATGCTGGTATAACATGTACTATTTTGTGGCTCCGGCAGAGAGCACAGAAAGAATGTAAGCATGCACAAAGTGTGGGTCATACCAAAGCCTGTACCAGGTAAATCCTGTATGATGGTGAGGCTGAATTCTGCTGCTCAACCAAACTGTTCAAGGGACGCATCAATCCGTAAGTAGATGGGAAAATCTGCCAAAGCTGCAGGTGTGTTTGTCCCCTGGGAAAGTGGCAAAGGGTGGAACAAATACTATACCAGACATGTGTACAACTTCAAATAAGACATACATCCTATTGGCACAGAAGAGATACACACTTCATTAGGAATCCATCTAGGTGGGATGAGTGGAGGATAAATGGCTTAAAAGACATGTAGGGTGGAACTGCAACTCGAAAGCAAGGTCATGAGGAAGTATTCTCTGTACCTGTGTATAACTGTAGCTAGTCCCAGTGGTTGGTAGCAAGGGACAAACATTCAGAAAATTGCACTAGAAGGAAAAACAGCTATTTCTAGTTCTGCCAAACGTATTAACTGTGGAATAATAGCTATTTCTTTTCCCACGGCATGCCTTTCCCTGCTTTCAAAGGGAGACAGTGTATAAAAGCTTTGAGACAGTTCACAAAAAGCTTTGAGAGTTGTAGATGTTATTCATGGGCACAGAGATCTTACCGTGAGGTAATTTCACAATTTCATCTCAGAAGAATTTATGACAAACTGAAAAATATGCCTTATTTGTCTTTCTGACAATTTAATAAGGTTCGTTTAATTAAGCCAGAAGTTCTTCCTTAACATAGACATATTTTCAGTGTTTGTCCTTTTCAGATGCTTTGTTTGCAGCACATTTCTGATGAATACATTATGAAACAATGATAATTTCCAGATATGGAAGAAGATGCTAAAACCAAAACTCTTCTCTAGAAGAGGGCTAGCGTCACTCATCCAATATTAAGAGAAACCAGCTGTGCATGTCTTTCAAATACCCCAAATGAGATAGCATAAATGCTGTTATAGAGAAAATAAATACAGCATCTTTTTCAAAGGACAAAGAAAAGTCTACAAGTGTCAAATTTAAGAACATGACAAATTTAAGAAATTTTCCTTCAGTTAAATCCTAGCTGGTCTTGAATAATGGTTAGAAGAGGCTCAAGACTCCAGTACCTAACAAAAATGTTGCCTTAAAATGGGTTATTTGAGACCTTTTAATTAATATTTGTTCAACAATGTCATGTTCTCTAGACACACGTTAGAATCAAAGTCAGAAGGAACCTTAGAGATGAATTAATCCAAGACTCCAGATTCCAGTACACTGAGATTCTGCCAGTAAATCTTATATCGTTAACTGCATTGATCTGGAAGCTACTCTCCACCCACCGTTTTTCCAGCTCTTGGTGGGGGGGACCTGAGCCCCTCATTTCACTGAGGAACTTTGGAGTAAGCATGTATCATTTGTGAAAGGACATAAAGGAATCACAAAACTTCAGAGAAATGAAAACTCATTTCTTTTACTTGGAAAGACCTTGTTTATATGGTTAAATGCTTTCATGGGAGAGATGAAAGATGATACCCAAAATGAAATTATTTGTCCAGTTAATTAAGTAGGGACAAGACTAAATCCGGTGTTTCCACTAATATACTATGTACCTTTTACTGAGTATAGAACTTAATTCATACACCAACTACTTTATAAGAGTTAAATCTACAAAAACAATAAGGAAAATGTCTTTATCTACGGTATAACAGAAATAACACTAGGCTCAAAAACTGGAGATTACTCAAAATTATAGCCAAAAGCTCTTTGCCTACAGAAATCATCCACAAAATTAAATGGTCTCTAGATTATTTTCATATTCTAAAGTTTTGAGTGGTAACAAAAGCTTACCTGATGAGCTGCTACTCTGAGAAGTTTGGGTAGGAATGAAAAGGCCATGTAAGTTGATATTTAGTTTACTTATGAGGTGGTGAAAATCACTAGTACTCATTTCAAAGATATTTTCTTCCTGTAATATGTTCAGGACCCCCCTGCACATGTACAGTCAGTATTACAGAAATTTAGCTCAGTAATTATAGTCGACTAAGCTCTAGTCACTCAAGAACTTTTAAGTAAGTTTGCTTTCACGTTATACATTTATTTTTTAGAATATCACCTTTATTTATGACAGGTAAAACATGTAACACAAGAGATCAGACTGTTCCCAAGCTAAGAACAAGGTTTTTTCTTGAGAAACAAATATCCAAAAGCCAGCAACTACATGCTAAAACCAAATAAAATACCAGACTATCTGTACATCAAAAATATATGAATTGCCTGAACCTTACCCTTTTAAACATAACCTAATTCAAGAACTAAATCTACTCTAATGTTTCTTCTTCTCTGAATTTCTCACATTTTCTATACTTTATAACATACTTCTTTGTATTATCTATACTGTTTTCATACAGACAGGCATTAATTATATCTCAAACTAGACAGTAAGTTCCTTTGAGGAAAAAGACTACAGTACACTACATGTTGAAAGCAGGCACCCAGTAAAGACTAGCTGGAATCTATTTCTTGGCAAACATTTCTCGATGATTCAGTTAGAGGAAGAAGGACAATGTGTGCTGCTGGTAGAATATGGGATCTAGGAGAGTTTAAGATACAAATTACACACACGGAGTCAACATGTAATAGGTTACTGCCTAGAGCCAAGAGGGCTAATACAGTCACGATTTGCTACTACTAAAAGCCAAACTACAGTATAATTCTCAACAGCACAATATTTAAATGAAAAAAAAAAATCAAACCAACCACAAGAAAACTTCATTGCAACCAAACACTAAATAGTTAATTGTGAATACTACTCTATTTCACATCATAACAACTTGTAGATAATGTATAATCCCAAAACAGCATGCTGAATATATGGTCGTTCAATCAAAAGCAATTCTGATATTGTGTTCTTGCTCCGCACGACAATGATCCTCAAAAACCCGTGTTACCTCTTCTACCTTCTTCTGCAGCATGCCTATAGGAGGAAAAGTCATGCACCATTAATTCAAGGTCAAAATGTCCAAGGAACAGAATAGCTTACATTCTCACTTCAACATGACTTATAAAACATCAGTTTTATTTAATAGCTTTAACTATTAGAATATACAGGAAAAAAACAATCTGTTTAGAAACTATGAAAACAGTGGATGAGACTGTTCTTGATTTGCTCTAATTTTCTGGTAAATAACTGTGTACTTGACATTTATGTTTTGTTGAAGAGAAGTGAAAACTGCTTTTTACTCATTACAGCTTAAAAGTGCTATACAAGGTAGTCATTAAATTGAGGGTATAGATTCTGGTAGAGGTCTTTGCTGTCTATAAGCAAATTAGTACACATAGTATATTCACATTTCTGTTCCTTTCTAATGGTTTATTTAACTTGGTGGTCCTCAATTTGCCTGGGAGCAGAGCAACACAAAATACCATTAATTTTACCATATAAAACAGCAATATTCTATAGTAAAAATAAGCTGTCAAAGTAAGCATGATAATCTAGATTTTTCTATTAATGTGCAGTTGGTCATTTGTTTTAGTGTTCATTAACGCTTACTAGTCAATAAGCAATAGCTGGTGCCAAAGATTAAAAAAAAAAAAAAAAAAAACTTCACAAGAGAAACACGAAAAATTTGAAACAACATACTTCAGTTTTCTTCAGCCAATTGGAAAAGCCCCAATGTTATTCAGTTTTAAAGTATAAGAGTATAAGAATACATCATTCTATCTTATGACATACATTTTGCAAGATTACACCTTAAGAACAAGTATTTTAAATGATGGTTGTATACTGAAAGGCTAGAAAAACAGTGTACATTGAGCCTGCCAAAATACATCTCCTTTTTTTTTCTAATAACTGCAGGGTGCAATTTTTTTTAACCACTGAATAACATTTTTCAGTGTGACAGAGGCACAATGAGCACTATAACAAACCATTAACTTGAGGCCAGAATTGTCAACATAAGCAAAATCTACTTAATTTGCTGATTGATAATGTATTAAGGAACACATTTATAAAAAATTTTAAAAATCAATGAAATGTTGAGCAACACAAGCCAACATTATTATTTTTTTTTAAGATTTTATTTATTTGACAGAGAGAGATCACAAGTAGGCAGAGAGGCAGGCAGAGAGAGAGGGAAGCAGGCTCCTCGCAGAGCAGAGAGCCCGATGTGGGGCTCGATCCCAGGACCCTGAGATCATGACCTGAGCTGAAGGCAGAGGCTTTAACCCACTGAGCCACCCAGGTGCCCCACAAGCCAGCATTATTAAGAGAGCTTTCTATAAATATTTTGTCATGTCTTCAAATTAAATTCTCAGGACTATTTCTATATTAACATACTTTACATTTTTTAGGAGTTTCATTACTTGAGGGCAAAAACTGCTCCTAAAATTTAACTGCCCAGAGTTCAGTTCTGAAGATATGTATTAGGGACTGGTTCCTGTAGGCCTATGAAATTATATTCCATACTAGAAGATAAATGCCAGGAATAGTCAATATTTGGGGGAAATACACCATATACATTTTGAGATTAAAATGAACTGTACTCAGCAATATGAAAATGAAATTATGAAAACAATTCCATTCACAAAAGCATCAAAAAGAATTAAAACGCTTAGAAATAAACCTACCAAATTGAGTATAAGACCTGTACACCAAAACATACAAAACATTGCTAAGAGTTAAGATCTAAAGAAATGAAGAGGAATCCCATGTTCATGGATTGAAAGACTCCACAGTGGTAAGATGGCAATCCCTCACAGGCTGATCTACTAATTCACTGTAACCCCTATGAAAATTCCAGCAAGCTATTTTTATAGAAATAGAAAAGCTTTAAAATTTACATGGAACGGACCCAGAATAGCAAAGCAATCTTGAAAAAGAATAATAAATTGCAAGAATTACACTACACAATTTTAAAACTTACTACAAAGCCACATTAATCAAGATGGTGTAATACTAGCATAGGATAGCCATAGAGATCAATGGAACAGAAAGTCCAGAAATAAAACCCTATATTTATGGTCAGTTCATTTTTGATGAAGGTGATAAGGCAATTCAGTGGGGGAAAACATAGTCTTTTGCAACAAATAGTGCAGAGACAACTGGATACCTACATGAAAATGAAGTTGAATTCTTACTTCTTAACTATGCACAAAAAGCAACTCAAGATGCATTATGGACCTAACTTCAAAGGAAAACTATATTTGGAAAATAAAACACAAATATCAATCAATTGATGAGCAGATAAGCAAAATGTGGATGTCCACACACTGGAATGATACACAGCAATAAATGGAATGAAGTACTGATACGTATTACAACATAGATGAACTCTGAAACCATTTCGCCAGACAGCAAAGGCCACATATAATATGACTCCATTTATATAAACTCTCCAGAAAGTACAAATCACTAAAGACAGAAAAAGTAGACTATTGGCAGGAACAGGGATCAATTGCCAACAAGCAAAAGGGAATTCTTTAGGGTATAGAAATGTTTTCAAATGGATTGTCTAATGTTTGCACAACTCTGAGTTTTAAACAGCCATTGGTTAAGATGATAGATTAGTGTGTTTAAAACATTTCCTAAAAATCACTTGCACCCCCCCCAAGAATATTCTGGTAAAATTGCTTCTAGCCAGTCCTATTCTGTGTATGGGACAGATGTTTTCTTCATTTAAACCTCCTTGCAAATATTTTAGGTAAAGATTAAAAGACATTCATATAAAGTTATGAAAATAAGTGAGTTGATCATTAAACCCTAACAGTGCTCTACTATAATTATTTTTAAGTTACACATATAAAAATTTAAAAAAAAATTTTTTTAATTTAATGTACTTGACAGAGAGAGATCACAAGTAGGCAGGGAGGCAGGCAGAGAGAGAGGAAGGGAAGCAGGCTCCCTGCTGAACAGAGAGCACAATGCGGGGCTCAATCCCAGGACCCCAGGATCATGACCTGAGCTGAAGGCAGAGGGTTAACCCACTGAGCCACCCAGGAGCCCCCACATATAAAAATTAATAGATAATACTAAATTCATGGTCAAAGGAAACAATGTACTTTCATAAACACTGCTATAGTACAACTCTTATTTTCCTTTTAGAAAAACAATTGGGGGGGCGCCTGGGTGGCTCAGTTGGTTAAGCAACTGCCTTCGGCTTGGGTCATGATCCTGGAGTCCTGGGATCAAGTCCCACATCGGACTCCCTGCTCGACGGGGAGTCTGCTTCTCCCGCTGATCTCTCTCTCCTCTCATGCTCTCTCTCTCTCTCTCTCTCAAATAAATAAATAAAATCATTTAAAAAAATTAAAAAAAAAACAATTGGGGCAGCTGGAGGAAAAAAATCATGAAAAATGGTCAAAAGATACAAATAAGCAGCTTAAAAAAGGAAATACAGATTGTTTATAAATATTTAAAAATACTCATCTTCACTGGTAACCAGAAGAATGCAACTGAACAATGGAAATATTTTCACCTATAAATTGTAGAAAGGAATGATGACTGTGGTGGTAGAATGCTAAAAGGATTCGGAATTAGCAGAATTAGGTAATTCAAAGAAGTGCTGAAAGTGGGACTGTAAGCAGTAAGAGGCAGATCTCTCCATTCCGCCACATCTGGGTGATTCTCCCTACCCAAGCCTAGCAGAGGACTTTTTGTTTAGAAAGGGTAAACCAGGTGGGCTGTGGCTCAGAGTCACCAGGGAGAGCTGAGGACAAGGTATCTGTACCAAAAATATAAGTGGAAGTTTGCAAGGGATGAAGTAAAAGTCTACAACTTGAGCACTGAGCTCCAATCCCTTTTTTAACAGCCCCAAGAACACTGGCGTACCACTAGGTTTATTAGTCCCTAGCCAAAAGCTGAAAGATTCTTCCTTGGAGAAATGACCAACTGAAGAGAAAAATCCTAAAAATTCTAAAAGTAATGGCTGGAGATCCTCCAGTAAAAAGGTCTTGCCAAATTATCCTATAGTAAATTAGCAAGATCCATCTACAGTTTAATGTCTCATTCTTGAATATAAATGGAAAACCAAGAATCGCCAGAGTGTTGAGGAATATCTTTAATATCAGACCAGGGACACCTTGGTGGCTCAGAAGGTTAAGTGTCTGATTCTTGGTTTCAGTTCAGGTCATGATCTCAGGGTTGTGGGACTGAGCCCCATGTTGGGCTCTGTGTTCAGCACATAGTCTGCTTGGAATTCTCTCTCTCTCCCTCCTTCCTCTCTCTCTCTCTCTCTCTCTCTCTCTCTCTCATAAATAAATAAATAAATAGAAAGACCAAAAGACTAAAACAAAGCAAAGATAAAGAAAGCTGGAAGACAGAATCCAGGAAAACTAAAATATTTGTTTAAGATTTTTTTTTTTGAGACAAAGCGAGAGCATGAACAGGGGGAGGGGCAGAGAGTGAGGGAGAAGCTGACCCCCCACTGAGCAGGGAGCCTGACATGGGCTCAATTCCAGGACCCTGAGACTATGACCCAAGCCAAAGGCAGACACTTCAGCAACTGAGCCATGCAGGTGCCCCAGGAAGAATAAAACATGTTTAAAAATCAATAATATCGTCAGAGAGAAGACACTGAATCCATGAAATAAGAACTGGATGCTAGGGGTGCCTGGGTGGCTCAGTGGGTTAAGCCGCTGCCTTCGGCTCAGGTCATGATCTCAGGGTCCTGGGATCGAGTCCCGCGTCGGGCTCTCTGCTTGGCGGGGAGCCTGCTTCCCTCCCTCTCACTGCCTGCCTCTCTGTCTATTTGTGATCTCTCTCTGTCAAATAAATAAATAAAATCTTAAAAAAAAAAAAAGAACTGGATGCTATTTAAAACACACACACACACACACACCATAAAACAGTACTACGAGCTCTTGTGAACTAAAAAGTGTAACAGGAAGCAAAGATCAGTAGAAAGACTGGAATAAAAAGCTGAGTACTTATCTGAGAAAATTTAACAAAAATACAGCAGAAACCTAATTCCAGAAAAT